TCCCTGGGGGGTGATTTCTCGCTTTCTGTCTCTGTCTCTCTCTGTCTGTATGGCGAGCGCACGCGCCCTATAGCGAAAACCTCTCCAAAAAAATAAAAAATTAAAAAACAAAACAAAACAGGGTCGGCAGGTAGCATGGTAGTTAAGGCACTGGGTTCCCATATGACCGACCATGGTTTGAGTCCTGTACTAAGCAGCTTGAAAATCATGCTGGGGGCATCTGCATGAGTGCCCAAAGTCCTGAGAGGAGAATGGATTACAGCAGGGATTGACCATCTACCTTTGGGGGTGATTTCTCACTGTCTCTCTCTCTCTCTCTCTCTTGCTAGCAAGTGCATGCACCCTACGGCAAAAACCTAAAAAAAAAAACAAAATAAAACAAATCAAAGAACACATGCTACAACATGAGTGACCCTTGAAAAGCTTATGCTAAGTCAAATAAGCCAGAGACAGTAAGACGAGTATGTGATTCCTCTTGTCCAAAACATCTAGAATAGGCACATTCATAGAGATAGAAAATAAAGTTTACCGGGGTGGAGGGAGAGAAAACTGGGGAGTTACTGTGTACCTAATGGATACAGCTTCTTTCTGGGATAATGAAAAAGTTCTGGAGATAAATAATGGTGTTGGTTACACATTTTGGGTGTACTTAACCCCATTCAAATTTAGTTAAAATGGTAAATTTTGTTATTTATATTTTACTGCAATTAAGAAAAAAGACTGACGGGCCAGCTGGTGGTGTGGTGGTTACGTGAGCAAGATCCCATACGGCAGACTGTGCAGAGTCCTGGTCCCACACACGTGTGTGCGTGCCCCAAATTCTAGAGTGAGGAATGGAGCAAGGATCGCTGTGTGACCGCCCTCCATGGGTTACTCTCTCACTTTCCCTCTATCTCTCCAGTAAGCACATGTGCCCTCTGGTAAAAACAGCAAACAAGGTAAAGACTAGAGCTCTGTCTTGCGCAGTAATTCTCCCTGGTAGCATCAGGGCCTTTGAGAAGGACTGAGATTCTGGTAAAGCTGCTGCCCCTGGGCCCGAGTGTGCTTCCTGAAAAATGTGCAGGCATGGCAGCTACCTGGTGGCCAAAAGAGAGAGCCTGAAGGTGACAGTCATCAGTTAGAGCCAGTGGTGACTGTGCACGGGTGCTGATGGAGGGTTTTTAATTGCTCCTGAATTAATGTGCTTACTTCTCACCTCTGGGGTGCCTAGGTTTAATTACTGTCTTAGGTCACATATCCAAATGAATCTGCTGTCATTCCTGGTCCCAGTGGACAGCAGCCCTGATTACCAAGCCTTCCTACTTTGCAGCAAGATCAGTCTAAAAAAGCTAGACTCCCAATGAACAGATTGGCCTCTTGTTAGAGCTGACAAGCAAGAGCAGATGAAGGTGGTACTGTCCCCATGTCCGGTGTTTGGGCGACCTGAACAGTTCGATTGTTGAAGGGAGTCCTCGCACTGGGAGATCAGTTGTCAGTGGCAGAGAAGCCTGAGAGGACCTGACTAGTGATTCTTTGAGGACAGAGGATGTTTACAGAAAAGGGAAGAATTGGGAAGCTATCGCCTACAGAAGACACTACGTAAGAGGGGTTGCAGACTCAGAAGCCTTGGAGGTCTGCACAGGTGTGTCAAGGAAGCAGTAGGTGGGACTGCAGCTGCCATGAATGGCCACTGCCTCCTGAGAGGGCAGGCCATGTCCATCTTCCAATTCCTAAACACCCAGAAATTGAAATTTTCTTTCTTTCATGAAAGAGGGTGGAACAAAGAAAAACAGGCAACCCCAATGGGGTCTCCATGTCCTAATTCAGCCAGCCAGCCTGGATCACAGACACACACAGAACTACGCTGCTCAGGGAGGTCCCAGGACTCCCCATGGGAGTCCAGCTGTTACACTGCAGTTTCTTGGCCCCAGAAATTGAAATTTATATACGACTTTTTTTTTTGTGAGAGATTTTTTGCTATAGGACACATGTGCTGGCCAGAGACACAGAGACAGAGAGATAAAAAGTGAGCAATCATCCCCTAAAGAGGATGGTCATGCCACAATCCCTTCTCTATTTTCCTCTCTGGATTTTGGGCATGCATACACACGTACCCAGTGTGAGAGTAAGCTGCTGGGTCTGGAACTCGAACTGTGGTCGACTACATAGGAATCCAGCGATATAACCATTATGCCTCCTCCTGGTCCCAATCTGCATTTTTAATAAGACCCCAAAGACTTTATATGTACTAAAGACCTTCCTCCCTTCCCATGTGTCCTGAACCTCTTCTGTGGAGGTAAGTTTATCAGTGCCTGGTTGTTTAATCATTTTATTCTGAGTGGGAGCCCGAGTTGAGTAGATAATTTACTCACTGTATGTACTTGGCCATGAACTACTCTTGTTACTGGATCCGTTTTACCGATGGGAAAACTGGAGCACAACTGTTAAGTGGAAGAGCCAGCATCTAGAGGCATGGAGTCTAGCTCTGCGCTCTCCACACCACACTGCGCTGTCAGCAATTGCAGCTACCATGGAGAGCAGAGGCTGGGATCCCCGCTGCTCAGAGCTAACTCAGCCACACCTACAGGCCTCAGCATGGAATTCATTGCCAGCTAGGCTCCTAGGTCAGCAGAGGGTGTGAAGGTTAAGGTGGCTGGTTCATGTCCTGGGCCCAATGGCTTGAAAATTACTTTGGGCATGTGTGTATATGCCCCAAATCCTGAGAGAATGGAGAAGGGATTGCATGATAGTCATCTCCTCTGGGGAGAGGTGATTTTTATTTTTCCCTCTTTGTTTCTTTCTGGTGAACACACATGCCCTATGGCAAAACGAAACAGAGAGAAAACACTCCAGGTACATGTGCGTGCTTGCCTAAAATTCTGAGAATGGAGAAGGGATTGCAGAATGGACGCCCCACGCCCACCCCCGTGGTTCTTCCTCACCCCCACTCCCTGGTGAAGGCTCATATACTATGACAAAAACAAACAAAAGAAGTCACTAATCAGCAGACTATAAGGAATTGTCCTCAGTACCCTGGGAAGTCAGACTGAATCTGCTGGAATGTCTTAAAAGGGCTGAAGTTACCTGTAAACAATAGCTTCACCCTTGCTCCAGAGTTCTCATCTTCTCTCATCTCATCCAGGATGCCCTCTGAGGTCCCACAACCACACAAGCCCATTCTTTTTTTTATAGAGGTTTTTGCTATAGGGCGCGTGCGCTCTCCGGAAAGACAGAGACAGAGAGACAGAAAGCGAGAAATCACTCCTCAGGGGGGATGGTCACGCTGCAATCCCTTCTCCTCCATTCTCCTCTCGGGATCTTGGGCACGCACGCACACGTGCCTGGCGTGAGTTTAAGCCACTGGGTCCAGGACTCAAACAGTGGTCACCTACATGGAAGGTCCAGCGACATAGCCATTATGCTAACTGCTAGTCCCACAGAACCCCATTCTTTTTTTTTTTTTTGGAGAGGTTTTTGCTATAGGGCTCGTGTGCTCGCTAGAGACAGAAAGCGATATCGTCCCTCAAGGGGATATGGCCACGCCACAATCTCTTCTCCTCCATTCTCTTCTCAGGATCTTGGGCATCCACGCACATGCGCTGGTATGAGTTTAAGCCACCAGGTCCAGGACTTGAACTGCAAGTCGACTACATGGGAGCTCAGCAACACAACCATTACACTAACTGCTGGTCCCAGAGGCCCATTCTTAACATACTTATTTCCTACTGATTCATTTAGGTTAAATCCCAATAGAAATAAGCAGTGAAAAATAATGTCCACAAGAAGGCCTCCTAGCTCCCTATGTATTAAACCACATAATTTGAGACACTTTGATCAAGTTATTTTAGGAGGAAAAAATGTAAATGAAACCTCTTCAAGGGGCAGATGGCAACAACAGAATTATTTCTTAAATTATGCCAGAGAGCTTGTACGCTTACTGGAGAAAGAGGGTGAGGGAGTAAGCACCCCTCAAAACAGTCCCTTTTCCATTTTGGTTAGGATTTGGGGCATGGGCAGTTTTTCAAGCTGCTGAGGGTGGGATTCAAACCCATCAACTGTTGAGATATGGCTTCTTTAAACCAGTGGCCTATGGGCCAACACCTCCAGTCTTTTATCTCACTTTCAATGCCTTGTAATCACTTTTAGTTTTTCCTAGGAACAGGGAACTCAAATTCCTTTTGCCCAGGATGACTGGCTTACCTTTTTGCTGGGAATTCCCAGCAAAAAGTGGGAATTATGATGTAAAAAAGAAAACATTCTTTTTTGGGAACCAGCAGTTAGCATAATGGCTATGTCGCTGGATTCCCACGTAGTTGACTGTGGTTCGCGTCCCGGACACGGTGGCTTAGAACGCATGCCGGGGGCGTGTGCATGCATGCCCAAGATCCCGGGAGGAGAATGGATTGTGGCGTGACCATCCCCCCTAGGGGGTGATTTCTCGCTTTCTGTCTCTATGTCTCTGTCTGTCTGTCTGGCGAGCACACACGCCCTATAGCAAAAACCTCTCAAAACAAAAACAAAAAGAAAACATTCTTTTTAAAAAAAATTATTTAACTTCATTTATTCATTTACTTGTTTTTATTTGACCAGAGAGGGGCAGAGTGAGAGAGAAAGTGAGAAAGCAAGCCGCAAGGACAGGGACACAAACTGTGGTTGGCCTTGTGGGAGACCAGCGCCCTTAACAACCATGTCACCTGTCGGCCCCCCAAACACATTCTCATTCTCTGCATTTGTATTTCCTCTCAACTAAGGTGTACAAACTTGGATTTACTCTGCCTCCCAGCTCAGATGCTCTTCTCACCCCAGTTCCCTCAAGTGACACCCATGCTTCCTCTTACCTTTGCCTTGGTGGCTCTTCCCAGCATCTTATGCAAATGCCCTCAACAGACCTCTCTCCTCAACCCATCTGTCATGGCACAAAGCCTCCAGCGCTTGCAGGCCCACCCCTGGGAACACCAACCACACAAGGAAAGACAGATGCACAGTCCCCAGTTGTTCAATATACACACAGGCACACCGTGTTCTAATGGGTCACTGAGGCTTTTTATTTTTGCACACAAAACCACTGGGGATCTTGCTTGTGGCCCCCTCGGAGATTACACTGGAGGTGCACGTGGCTCTAGACACTTGGTGTGAAGCGAGGGGAGAAAAACAATGATTTGGGCCAATCACATGATTACAGAGCTAGGGTTTCCGGCAGGGTTCCAGGTGGTCAGAGTTCTAAGGAAGCAGCATGAGCACCACAGAGCTAGGAGAGGGGCACTAACTACCAGAGGCCCTGTAAGTGCTGGTTGAGCACACTCGGCCTGAAGTCAGTCTACTTAGCCGCCTAGTCACTGAGGCCTCCGGGTCACTTGCCCTCAGCCTACTTGGCCAGGGGGTTTCTGAAGTTCCTGCCGGCAAACTTGGCCTTGCTGCCCAGTTCCTCTTCAATTCTTGAGAAGCAAAAGGATAGAGGGAAGAGAAAGGAAAAAGAAAGTAAATCTCAGCACAGTAAATCTTCTCAGACATAGCCCCACTCCTCCCAGGAAGCTGAGGACCAAGAAGTTTTTAGTCTGTACAACATATTCTTTTTTTTTTTTTTTTAAAAGAATGGCTACTTTTAATTAAATTAATTAATTAATATTATTATTTTAATCTGACTAGAGAGAGGGGAAGTGCAAACAAGTTGCCAGGTCTGCGACTCGAATTGCAGTTGGTCATGTGGGAGCCCAGTGCCTTAATCACCATCCATCCCATCTACTGGCCCCAGTACAATTTATTCTTGAACCCTCTAATTTTGGCGCCACAAAAAATGGAAATGAAATCCATCCGTAGTTTTTAATGTGATACATATTCTCCTTGATCCTTTGAAGGATACCCCCCCCTTGCTATTTCTTGAAAAATAAACATTTTAATACTTCTTTCTTCCACCAGGAGATGGCAGTATTGTTCTGCTCTGGTGGACTTAGGATCCAGGCTCCCTACACTGCAGGCCCCACCTACACGAGTCCCACAGCCAGGAGCTCCCAGTGAGGCAGTGCCACCCACTCAGTGCAGACCCCGAGTGGCTGCCCTCTGGGCCTTGCATTGCAGTCTTTACCTGAGGAGCTGGTTGTACTTGGCCAAGCGCTCAGACCGACAAGGTGCACCAGTCTTGATCTAGATGGAGAAAAGAAAGATCAGATTTGCTCGTAGTGGAGAGTGAAGGAATCTCAAGCAAGCATCTGAGGCGTGGTGGAGGCTCTTAGGGAGGCTAAAAGCATCCAGACAGGACCATCTCCACCCCATGGTGTTTAGACTCATACACCGTGGCAGTTCCACAGGGTACATGAGCAAACAGAGCCCACGGCCACTTCTAAGAGCTTAATTTATCAAGCTGAACAAGAACTCCCCACCCCACCAAGTGATCTGGTGTAGTCTCAGGAAGTTAAGGTCAGAAAGAAGAAATGAAATAAGGAGAACCCTTCACTCGCAACAGTTCCTGTTCCTTTCCTTTCCTTTTTTTTTGAGAGAGATTTTTGCTATGGAGTATGTAGACTTGCCAGAGAAACAGAGAGAAAGTGAGAAATTGCCTCCCAACAGAGATGGCCACACGGCAATCCCTTCTCTAGTCTCCTCAGGATTTTGGACACACACGCACATGCACCTGGCATGAGTTTTAAGCCACGAGTCCGGGACTCGAACCTCAGTTGATTAAGTGGGAGTCCAGTGATGTAACCATTATGCCATCTGCTTGTCCCACTCTCTCAGCAGTTCTTTACCTGCCCAGTGCAGAGTCCCACCACCAGGTCAGCAATGAAGGTATCTTCAGTCTCTCCAGAACGATGAGACACCATCACGCCCCAGCCATTGGACTGGGCCAGCTTGCACCTGGAAGCCAGGAATAGCTCAGTCAGCATGAGCCCACTTTCTGGCCCCAGAATTCCTCATTGCTGGTAGAAAACAATGGAAGGGCCAGGACAGGAGGTGAAGCTTGTTGTGAAACAACAGAGCTCACCAGGGAAGACAACAAAAATGTCACCCCCCATTCTCCTCCGAACCATTTCCTAATCATGGCTTGGACACTGGGTTCTGCCTCCCTGCAGGGGAGAGAAACCAGTGTTCTCTGAGAGCCCTTCACACACCCTGTACCAGTTGAGCTTATGCCAGGTGGGTCCAGGGCTGTGACGGCGCGTGCCCCTGCTGATGCTATCACTGACATTTAAAGTCCCCGACATCAAGGGTGAATCCTGTTAAATTCCAGAGTACTGCGAGTTCCAGGCAGCAGGACTCCTGGCCCCAAAGGAAGGAACCCTCGTTTTGATTCTCAATCCCTTACTGCATGAAAACCGCTCCCCGGGGAACACTTACGCCTGAAGAGACTCGGTTACGGAGCCAATCTGGTTCACTTTGAGTAGGAGGCAGTTGCACGACTTCTCACCCACGGCCTTGGCAATGCGCTTTGGGTTGGTCACAGTGAGATCATCCCCCACCACCTGGATTCCCGCAGTGGCTGTGAACTTCTGCCATGCATTCCAGTCATCCTGATCAAAGGGGTCTTCGATAGACACCACTAAGGAGAGGAGACAAGGCCCATGAGGTGCGATCCTCGCGGCCTGAAGAGTGGCGCTAACTCAAGAGCTTCATTTCCATCTGCATACCTGGTCTCTCCTCTCTTGCTCACAGGACGAGAGGGACTCCCAGGTCAGCTCCTACAAACACCTGCCCTACCAACCTACTCCTGCAGCAGGGCACGAAGCCACACACACCAACACCCTCGGTCCAAGTAAGTTAGTTAGATTGTTTGATTCGCTGTTTGACTGTCTGATTGTGATTGTGTCTGGTATAAGTTTCAAGCAGCTGGATCCAGGACTTAAACCGTGGTTGGCCATGTGGTAATCCAGTGCCCCATTATACCATTTAAGTTTTTTTAAAGTTTCTGCCTTAGGGTGTGGTATATGTGCTTGCCAGAGACAGAAAGAGGTAAAGTGAGAAATCATCTCTTGGGGATATGGCCATGTGCAATTCCTTTTCCATTCTCCTCCTGGGATTTTGGGCACACATGCACACATGCCTGGCACAACTTTCAAGCTGTCAGGTCCAGGACTCAAACTGTGGTTGGCCATGGGGGAACCAGCACCTTAACCACCATGCTACCTGTCGGCCTGACCCATGACATAGTTTAACAAGTGGCTACTATGATTCTCAAGGTTTGGTTTCGTGCCTGTGTAATTTTGATTTTCTTTGAATCCTTAGGCATAATTCAATGAACAATTTCATAGAGGGCACAGAAAGTCAGGACAGGAATTATCTTCTGCAGACTGTGTCACTATGTGGTTGCTGTAATAGGACAGAGCAATAAATCATACAGTGTTGTGACTAGCACCTGAAGGACCACCTTCTCAGACTCCTTTGCTACACTGAACGCAACTTCCCTGGCAAAGCCCCAGGGATGACTTGTGTAGAGACAGCCCCTGCTCCATGTTCGTTCTTACAGCCATCATCAGCCGCCCAGGTGCTGTGGCTGCCCTGCCAAATGACGGGTGGCTGGAAAGGGCCACAGCACCCAGAGCACTCACCTGGGTAGTCCTTGATGAAGGATTTGTACAGGTCAGCCAGCTGGTCGGGTGTGATGTACCTGCTGGCATCATCAGGAGACTTAAAGTCCAGATCGTACTTCCCAGACCTGAAGAACTCAGAGGCAGCCACGTCCATGCCAATGACAACCTTGTCAGAATAGCCAGCCTTCCCGATCGCATTCTTCAGCAGCTCCAGGGCTGGAGAAAGATAGTGGCAACAAGTTTGATAACAGGTAGTGAAGATCAATTCTCCCGCAATAGTTGTCAAACAGAAACTAACAAAAGAACAAGAAGTGCCCTGGCCTTGACCATCTGGTCAACCATCTCGACCACAGGGTGCATGACCTTGCCAGAGACAGAAAGTGAGAAATCACACACATACACACACACACCCCGGGGGATGGCCATGCTGCAATCCCTTCTTCGTTCTCCTCTCAGAATCTTGGGCGGGCACGCACAGACATGCGCCCCATGTGAGTTTGAAGTCACTGGGTCCGGGACTTGAACTGCAGTTGACCTTGAGAGTCTAGTGAGGTAACCATTATGCTATCTGCTGGTCCCATCAACCATCTGTTTTAATGACACCTGTTACTTTCTTCTACTTTGGGTCAAGAAACCATTGGTCAGGGCCCCCGGTGCATCACCAAGAGGGAACTCAGTACTGACTCTAAGAAAAGAGGCTTCCTCACGGACAAATGTCCCTAAATATAGTCCCCAGAACAGCTGTGCTGTCCAGACACATTTGACAGTGAGCTGAGATCAGCTGTACTGAGGAACAAGCTTTAAATAGTAGAGACTGGGAGCTGAGTGGAAGCCAGTGGAAGAGGAGCCATGCAGCAAGATCCCACTCTTTGGGCTGTGGTGTCAGGAGCTCTGGCTCAGGCCTGGCCTTACCTGGTACCCTTGGCCCCTGCTCCACACCAAGGATCCTCAAGCTGTTAAACTATGAGAAATGGCCATTTCAAAAAAATTTTTAATTTATTTTTTTAGAGAGTTTTGCTATAGGGCATGTATGCTTGCCAGAGAGACAGAAGTGAGAAATCAGCCTTGAGGGAAGCTAGCCATGCTGCAATCCCTTCTCCTTCAATATCCTCTTGGGATTTTGGGCACATGCGCACACACGTCTGGCGTGAGTTTTAAGCTGCTGGGTCCACGCTCGAACCGCAGTGAACTACGTGGGAGTCCAGCAACATAACCATTACACCATCCACTGAAATGGACATTTTTAAATAAAAAAATAATTGGTGAATATCAGCCATCTCATATGGCTGAACCAAAGAACAGGATGAATATTTTCTTTTTTCCCCTAGATATCCTTGAGGCAACAGAAATATTCGTAAGAACGATTTATCCTTCTAAGATAAAGAACTCTGCAGAAGATAATTTCTATCCTGGTTTTCTGTACCCTCTATGGAATTGTCCATTTAATTATGCCTAAGGATTCAAAGAAAATCAAAATTAAGCAGAAGTTTTTTTTTTTTTTAAGAATTAATGTAGGTGAGGGACCGGAAGATTGCATAATGGTTACATTGCTAGGCTCCCATGTGGTTGACCACAGTTCAAGTCCGAGACCCGGCAACTTAAAACTTCCACTGGTCGAGTGTGCATGTGTGTCCAAAATCCTGAGAGAAGACTGAAAAAGAAGGAACTGTGGCATGGCCATTTCCCCCCCGGGTGTGTGTGTGTGTGTTGATTTTTCGCTTTCTGCCTCTCTGGCAAGTACGCACACCCTATGGCAAAAATCTCTTTAAAAAAAAGAGAATGTAACTGAATTTATTAAAAGTTACTAGTCCTATCCTGAACAATAAGCATCTTCCTGTACACAGAGCAGATTTCAAACCTACACCTTGGCAGGAATAAACCTGCCTCTCTATGCTGCAACCAGCATTCAGGTATTCAGAAGTCACAGAAATTATTTGTGCGGTGCCAGATGGTGGCATGGTAGTTAAGGTGCTAGATTCCCACATGGCCGGCTGTGGTTCCAGTCTCAGACATGGTGGCTTAAAAATCACAAATAAATAAATGCTTCACCCACTCAAAGCCTTCCCATAGCTATTTCACTCCCTAAGAAAAGAAAAAAGAATTTGTGAAGTCCTTGAAATGAAGTTCCAGACTTCACTGTTTGCAGGGTCTCGATCGTGTTGTTAAAGCAGCAGGTGGGGAAGACAGGCCTGGTGCAGGAACAGCCCAGGGGATCCCCCGGTGCCTTTACCTTCTTTGTTCTCCAGGATGTTAGGAGCAAACCCGCCTTCGTCACCTACGTTGGTGGCATCTTTCCCGTATTTCTCCTTGATGACGTTCTTCAGGTTGTGGTAAACTTCCGCTCCAATGCGCATGGCCTCCCTGAAGTTGGCTGCACCCACGGGGAGGATCATGAACTCCTGCATGGCCAGCTTGTTGCCAGCATGAGAGCCGCCATTGATCACATTGAAGGCCTGGGGAAAGGCAGAGGGAGAAGCCTGGTGCTCAGCCTAGGGTACCTGTGGAGTGTGGGCCTCCTGCATCCAATTACCCGGCTCACAGATGAGCCAAGACGCAGTCCTCAAGTAATGCTCAGAGGGGCCAGGTGGCTCTGAAAGGCTTGCCAGACCTCTCTTGGTAACTGCAATATTTATCATCAAAAGCACTTGCTATGACGTGGGCCAATGTTCACACTCTAACAAGAAACTAACTGCTGTCACCCTGCCCCTCTATCCAAATAAGGTACCTTAGGCAGAGTCACTAACTCATGCTCGGCCAAGCACAAAGGAGCCTTATGAGGCCTAGACCTCCCTCTAGAGCCTACCCTTCTCTGCTGTGCTGGGAAGTTGAACATGTTAAGAGATTGGGGCATAGAAGTCTCAGGTTTCTACGAGAAAACTGACACCGTAACTCCCTGCTTGGGAAGCTCCACTCAGCCACTCACCGGAACTGGCAGGATGACTTCAGAGTTGCCAGCCAAGTCGGCAATATGCCGGTATAGGGGCACCCCCTTCTCAACGGCTCCAGCTTTGCAGACAGCAAGGGACACACCCAGGATGGCGTTCGCACCAAACTTAGCTACAATAAAACAGAGTTCAATGAAGCTATTTCTTACTTGCCAGCTTTTTTCCTCCAAGTTGCCACTATATGCACTGCATGTCTCCTCCCATTTCTTCCTAATTGCCACACAGATGCAGGCTGTATTCCATGGGGAACCATCTGCCTCGACTCCCAAGACAACACCCCTTTTTTGGTGGATTAATTCTGGCAAATTCTATAAATTACCTTATTTACTATAAAGAGAAAACCTCTTTTGAGTGACCATATAGACAAGCCGCTATCACCTGGTTATGCTCCTGATTTTTAAAAACATGTCTCTTGAGGTGAGGCGAAGAAACAGAAAATGACCACACTCTACCAGTTTTTGTAATTTGTTATGGGACATGTGCACTGCTGAGAGAGAGAGTGAGAGAGTGAAAATGCACGCTGGGGGTGTGGAGGGAATGGCGATGCTACGATTCCTTTTCCCCCGTTTTCCTCTTGAGATTTTGGGCATGCATACAGGTAGGCACACATACCTGGTGTTTTTTTTTTTTGAGAAGTTTTTGTTATAGGGCACGTGTGCTCACCAGACAGACAGAAAGCGAGAAATCACCCCCCAGGGGGGATGGTCACGCCGCAATCCCTTCTCCTCCATTCTCCTCTCGGGATCTTGGGCACGCATGCACATGCACCCGGCATGAGTTTTAAGCCACCGGGTCCGGGACGCGAACCACGGTCGACTACGTGGGAGTCCAGCGACATAGCCATTACGCTAACTGCTGGTTCCCATACCTGGTGTTTTTTAAGCCAGATCTGGGACTCAAACCACTCAGTAAGCAATGTGGGATCCAGCCAATTTAATCATCACAACACTGACCACCACAATTTAGTTCGTTGTTCGAGATAATGTGACATTCATTCTGGTGGGGTTTATATGTGTGTGATTTTTCTGACAGGCTTTTGCTGTGTTGTGATCCTCCTGCCTCAGACTATAGGGTTTTAGGGTAGAGTGGGAACCAAATCTGGTGGTCTCTCATGTGGCTCAGCCTGCCAGGCAGTGTGTCGGGCACATGCTGCTGTGACTAGGCTACCTCAAAGTTTTAAAGAATTTATGAGGGGCCGGCAAGTGGTATGGTGGTTGAGGTGCTGGATTCCCACATGGCCTACCGTGATTTGAGTTCTGGACCTGGGAGTTCCTTTCTCTCTCTCTCTCTGTGGTCTAATTAAAAAATAATAATAATTAATAAAATAATTCTTTTAAAAAAGTATTATGAGACTTGACAATCATTTTGGTGGAGATTGCACCTTGGCCACTCACATTTGTTTTCCGTTCCGTCCATCTCGATCATCAGTTTGTCAATCTTCTCCTGTTCCACGACGTTGAGTTTCTACAAGGGAGAGGGAGTATGAGGGTCGGGGAAGGACAGGTGCTACTCAACCTGCCTGCCAGGGAGTCTATAAAACTTGGGAACTGTGCAAAGTCAAAATTGGTTCTCTGCTGTTTGTTTTATAGACAAAAACGGGAGGGAGGTGAACGAGCAAAAACAACGGAGAAACACAACCTGCCTTTTTCTTGCTTTAATCACAACCACCCAATAGGCAAACAGATGTGGAGGCTCCACGCATAACCCTTGTCATGAAGATGGCAGCCTACCCAAGGAGTCAGAAGTCACATTACACAAGTCAGAACTGTCTGGGACATGCTGGTAAGCTACTACTACAATGAAATGTGACTCTTTGGGGAAATAAATAAATAACAAAGCTTGCTATTCATACAAAGGTAGGCTCTGTTGTCACTCTGGCCTCACCCCAGTGATGGCCAGATCTTCAACCTCTGATGAGAGGTATGATCCAAAATCACTTAGCTAAACATCTGAATGACTGATCAAAATGAGTACGTTGAGTGAGACTATAAGTAATAGAGGGATGTCCTGAAATTAATTCTTAAAAGGATTGTGGCATGACTACACCTCATTGGGGATTACTTTTTCTCTTTGGTGAGCACATGTGTCCCCCTGGCAGTTAAAACAAAATAAAAACCCTCATAATTCAATCATAACAATGCATTCATTATTCTCTATATAATGTTCTTGATATAAAAACTAAAATACAAAATCATCGATGATGCCATCATGCGGTGAACATTTGGTGTCTGTTTTAATAAAATAGCAAATAGTTGGCTTCAGAGGCCAGTCCTCACTAATACTAAAGTTGAAATGTTTCTTCCCTTAAAAACGTCCAGGAAAGCTCTGCTCACTGTGCTGTCATGCCTCGTACGGGTGAAAGGGACAAAGAACAAGGCAGGTGTGGGGATGCCCGGGAGACTGGAAGAGGGTGTATGTGGGCAAAGCAGTCATAAGAAATTTTGCCTAGGGACCAGTTACAGAGTGGCACGATGGCTGGGCCAAAATAAGCAAGCTGGGAATAGAGACAAAAAGGGCATTTCACTGTCCATCACGGTACAGGAAGAAGTCAAGGAGAGGAGGGACCACACCCAAGCAGAGGCTGTGGTTTGAAGAGCTTCTGTAGACAGGCTTCAAACCATTACCAATGTGGGGTACCACAAGCATTATGGAGGGAAAGGCCGTAGGGAAGAAAAGGAGACAAAAAAACTCCTAAGTTACGTTGTTAGGTCTCCCAGGCCGATTTTACCCATCGCAGTTGTATTTTATCTACTTGACATACTGCGATTTCAAGATTTTACTTAATAAAAATTACAGTGTTAAAAAAATCAAATCAGTAGAAATATAGCTAACTCCAAAGTTCCTGAAAAATTAAATTACCATGGACACTATTTCCAACACTCCTGAGAGCTGCTCTTAAATCTGGGTCTGAGTTTCTCAGAGGTAAAGAACAGATGCAGGGGAAAATGAGGGCCCTTTGACCGTCTCCTATCCTTCTAACCTAGTTCCGTGTGCTATCAGAAGTGGACACATAGGAGAAAGTGGGTTAGGATCACGTCATGCATGAGTTATTTTCATGCACGCCAGGGAATCCAACTGGCTTCAGGAGCTCTCAGAATGAGCTCTTCCATAAACAGGAAACCCCCTGGGCTTGGAGACGCTCTGGTAGCATTAATATGCATTCATGGTCAGGAGGCAGGTCCTACCTTGCTAACCAGGGCAGGCGCAATAGTTTTATTGATGTGCTCAACAGCCTTTGAGACACCTAGAAGGAACAATCAGATCAATTACTGAGGTTAAATTTTTTAAAAACAGGCTTGAGCAGCATTGCTGGAGAGTACGGATGATGGTGACCCAGGAGCCCAAAGACCTTCCATTGGACCTCTTTAAAATCCCCAGCCCCCATTCCTCCTAGAATCAAAGGGCTTTTGGACCCAGTCTGAGCGCTCTTACCCAGGACCCCAAAGGTTAGCACCACACACAGAGCGAACTCATGGGAGGTTAGTGTGCAAGACCATGCACCAACACCAGCCACAGGAACTAAAGGCTGTCTGATGCGTTACCTGAGTGCACAAGGCTGGTGCCAGGAACTCATTAATATACTTAACGGGCCTGGAGACACCTGCCCAGCAGAGATGGACAGAGAACGGAAAAAGAGATTCAGAAGAAAACAGGAAATAGAGGAACCAGAGGGAGAGGAAGACAGAGGACAGCATCTCAGGGACCAGGGTCCAACCTCCACCATGCTGGCTGAACTGTCAAGGCACAGCACTGTCCTATGCTCGGTAAGTCCCTATCCAGGCCATCGCACACAACAGTAATGGGTAACAGTGGAGAGACCGCTTTGTACTTCCTGAGCAGGACCGAAATCACTGCCTCCCCAGCCCTTCCTGACCTTCTCCTATTGCTGCCGCCTGTCTTGCAGTTTTTAAAAATATGTTTCCTAATTGTACCCCTTTCCCTGAAATTTTAATACCATAAATATGCCATGTATCTGTTTATGTACTGTGGCCCTCTTAAGGGCCACAAACTATGGTAACGTTTTAAGTTTTCTTGCTTCCTTTCCAAGAACCAATGTCCCCATCCCCCACCCTCAGCAGGATTATCTGCCCACCTCGAAAACAAACTGAAATTGCTTTTCTGAAATTTGGCCACAGGTTCCACCCAGAGAAGGGTGAAAGCTGCACAAACGTTAGCAAGTCAATCTGATAGAGTCAACTGGGGCTGGTTCTGCCACACACCAATATTTCTGTGAATCAGTCAACAGAAAAATTAAATCTTAATGACTCCTCTGTGGTCACCATTAATGACAGACCATTAGCTTGACCTTCCTAAGCTATTTCTGGCCCTTGAAGAGGTTGATAGTCTAGAGGGCCTACAGGCTGCCTGGGAGAAGGGGGAGACATTTATTTTCAGTTAACAGGCTTTCTTTTTGTCCTGGGTTTTCTGACCTAGCCATGAGTGTTTCACATACTGGAAACAAACTGTAATAGAAACAAGCATTAAAACCTTTCACCCTGAGTGTTTTGGCTCAGGGATCTGGAATCAATAAGCCAACTTCTCCAACTCGTCCATGTGCTAGCCCATGGCTCCCCATCGACATTATGAATTAAATCAGCTTTCCCACCCTCACGAATAGGCCCACCCCAGGAGGCATCTGGGATGAGCCTGGAGAGGGGCTGGAGGTGGGAGGCTGGGCTGCAGCCTTGCTCCAGAGGGAGCTGCGGTTCCAAGTCTTACCCTTTCCCATGTAGCGAGTCTTATCATTGTCCCGCAGTTCCAGGGCCTCATAGATCCCAGTTGAGGCACCACTGGGCACAGCAGCTCTGAAGAGACCTGGATGAGAGGCAGAAAAAAATAGGAGCAATGAAGACGTATGGTTAGGAGCTGGCTGGTGGCGGGGTGGTTAGGGTGCTAGACTACTACATAGCAACTGCAGTTCAAGTCCCAGGCCTAGCAGCTTGCTTTCTCACTTTCCCTTTCTCTCTCTGGTCATATTAAAAGATATTAATAAGTAACTTTTTTTAAAATAAGAAAAAAAAAGAAATACAGTTAGACAATAAGCTTAGTTCTCTCCCACACACAGATGGCATCTGTTATTCCTTCTACAGATTGAGTGATTCAAAGGCCTGTTCTCCCTGCCCTTCATGGTTTTTTTTTTTTTTTTTAAAGAGGGATTTTTGATATAGGGCACATGTGCTCGCCAGAAAGACACAGAGAAAGTGAGAAATCATCCCTTAGGGTGGATGGCCATGCTGCAATTCCTTCTCCTCCATTCTCTTCTTGGGATTTTGGGGATGCACACACAAGTAGCTGGTGTGATTTTGAAGTCACTGAGTCCGACACTAGAACCACAGTTGGCCATGTGGGAGTCCAGTGCTCCAACCAGTATGCAACCTGCTGGCCCTCATTTTTTTTTTTTTTCTTTTAATGATAGCAAGTACATGAAAGAGGGAAGAAAGGGGGAGGGGAGAAAAAAGTACCCTTGAGAGGGTCCCAACACATAGCAGTCTTCTTTCCCCAGCCCTCTAGATCCTCGGGGCCCTAGGTACTTGTATGTATATCCGGTTGTGCTTTTAAGCTAACCCAGGGATCAGAGCCTGCTGTCGGCCACGAAGCTTCCAGCTTTACGGGGACTGTGCTACTGCTCACCAGAGACTGGGCCCTTGCCCTTCCCATTTTTATGATCCTGTACTGCAGACTATATGACAGGTGATGAATTTCTCTAGTTGAAGGCAAATGCTCTAAAGCAGAGCTTTTCAATTTTTTTTTTTATTTTTTTTTGCTATAGGGTATACAGGTGTATGGGCTCACTGGAGTGACAGAGAGAAAAAGTGAGACAGCATCCGGGGGGATGGCCATGCCAGTCCCTTCTCCTCCATTCTCCTCTTGGGATTTTAGGCATGGATGCACATACATCTGGCATGATTTTCACCAGGTTAGGGATTAGAACAGTGCAGTTGGCCATGTGGAATCCAGCGGCATAACCTTGACATTATCTGGTGGACCAGAGCTTTTCAATCTTTAATGTGCACACATGCCACCTGGGGACCTCGTTAAGATGCGGATTTTGATACAGAAGGTCCGAGATGTGTCTGAGATGTGTCTCTAGCAGGTTTGCAGTTGGTGCCCTACAGCTGGTCTGTGGACCATGCCCAGCAGCACTGCCCAATAAATAATGTGAGCTTAGAGATTTAAGATGTTCTTGTAGTGATGGCAAAGTTAAAAGACAAAAACAGGAATGAATTGGCTCAAAAGCATCTCTGTAGTTATTTGCTTCAGTTCCGACAATGATAAATGCTATTTTGGAAGTTCTCTCTACCCAACAGGAAACTGAAAAACGGAATTCAGGAAAAAAGGAGTAAGGTCAATAAAAGGCAGACTTTTAATAACTAGGACACAAGCACCAAATCACACAATCTTGCAAATACAGAAACAGTCTGGTTAAACCACTACCTGCAGCATAAAAATGGCAATCTTGGAAAAGGCACGACAGAATTGAAAAGGTGCTGCAGATACATACGGACAGACAGGTTTAGGGCAGCAGGAAGTGCAGGCAATCTCTTAAAGCTAATTCACATTGTAAGAAATTTCCCCATTTGAGGTATGTGAAAACTGGTGGGTGTGCAGGCAAAAGAACAAAGGGAAAATCAACCAAGCTCGTGAATCGAATGCTGTTAGTGTTCCATGCTGCATCTGTGGTGACTGCATGTGATATACACGATACACCTCCTTTAACCCCACCCTGGCTTCCTACACATCCAACATGCATGGGATTAGGAAACCAGATAAAAGCAAGAGGCTCAAAGTCTACGGACTTTGGGTAATAATGATGGGTGCACATAGGTTCATTGACTTTTACAAATGCACTACTCTGATGCAGGATATTGATGAGGAGGCAGGCTAAGTGTGTGTCTGCAGGGGGCAAAGGCCCATGGGAACTCTGTACCTGCTATTCAATTTTTCCATGAGCCTAAAACAGCTCTAAAAAAGTTAATGAAAGATAGAAAGAGGAAAAGATGAAAGGCTCTTAACAAATGCATCATTTCATGGAAAGTTCTGTTCATTTCAATTTCGTCAAGTATTTTTGACCATTTTAGAGTGTTTAAAAAAATACTCCCTTCCAACGATGTTTATTAGCTCAAGTCATTGTTTCAAACCCATTAATATCTACCCACCAGCCAAGCAAGCTGATCACGTAAGGTGAAGGGACATTCTTGGCATCCTGCGACAACCCTTGGTATTCACCATAAGGCACGTGCTTAGAAAAGTACCCCATCACCAGCAACCAAAGGCAGAACATGGGTAGACTTCTGGCCAATGAAGTCAAGGATGCTTCTTTTCCTGGGAGTGGGGAGTTGGGGGAGGGATGGGCAGGAAGGGAAGGGCTGCGGTTCCTCTGCCAGGCCTCTGATTCAGACAGTGACTCAGCTCTGACTGGCAGGTCTCTGTGCACTGGAACCCCTGAATGACAGTGCGCATAGCTCCTCTCCAGCCTCACACACTATGTCCCTTTTATGAAACAGTCAAGACATTGCTGGAGGCAACAAAGGGCTACAGGGGTGCGTCCCGAATGTTAATTTTAAAAAAAAAGGGGGGGTGGGCTTTAAGCATTCTGTTACTTTTTATGTAGAAAAACTTCTTTAATGGGAACTTAAAGCCAGTTGAAACTAAGAACCTCTAGACTATTTCAAGGCACAAAGAAAGGTAAAATCTGTCTCTGATCCTTGGTTTAAGACTGATTTCTGGGCACAGGGATAAGAGCCTATAATTATACTTGCTTATACTCCCTCATAGCAAGCTGTGAGGGGCCCTTGTAGGAACTGGGTCTCAAGGTATCATCTTACACCCTACCTCACTGACCAAGGAGCCAACCTGTTCTGTTTCAAATACCCAGAAGGGGATAGATCCCTACCTCACTGACCAAGGAGCCAACCTGTTTCAAATACCCAGAAGGGGCAAGACAAGAACTCCATGTGTTATAATCTCCTGACCCTTCAGTCAGGAATTGCAACCTAGATCAAACCTAGACCAAAAGGAAGAGATTTTACTGTAGCAGATTTTTCCTTACCTACAGTCCTATTGGTTGAAGAAAATTCTAGCACGGAGTATAGAAGGAACTATGGAAACCAAGGTGGACACATACCTTTTGAGGTATACAGATCAACCTCAACAGTGGGGTTCCCACGAGAGTCGAAGATCTCTCTGGCATGGATCTTGAGAATAGACATGATGAATCTGTTGAGAAACATACAGTTCACATTTTCCATAAACCACAACACAGCATTTACTCATTCATTTAAGGGTTGAAGTCCAAGGGTTCCTGGACTAGAAAGAATCTGCACTGGTCTACATGTTGGGTTTAGGAAAGTTGATTAAAGTGAGAAAGTCTGCTGGAAAGCAGTGAAATTGGTCTCTAAAAAGCAGAATGAAGGAGCTAGCAGGTGGCATGATACTTAAGTTGCTGAACTCCCACGTGGCCACCCGTGGTTTGAGTCCTGGACACTGCAGCTTGGGAATCACGCTAGGTGCCTGTGTGTACATGGCCAAAATCTCAAGAGAATTTGAAAAACAGACTGTGGTATGGCTATCCCCTCGGGGGTGACTTTCTCACTTTTCCTGTCTCTATCTCTCTCTAGAAAGTATACACGCCCTATGGTGGAGAGAAAAAAAGGCAGATTGGGTCAGTTCTGGAAGGATTTCAACTCCAGTCATTCAAGTCTTGTTGTATTGGGGGGTGGGGGAGGGAAAGGCCTAAAATTTGGTGTGCCAGGGAGAAATCAAATCTAATCGGAAAGATTAATGTGTGATGGCACGCGGAATGGCTCAAGAGAAAGCCTGAAACTGCTTACTGTCCTGGGTTAACAATGAGGGATGGCATGGGAATGGAAAATGACCAAGAATAGATGGTGAAGAACAGATGTGAAGGTCACAAACAAAACTATCTAGGACAAGACCAAAAAGATAGGGTATAGAGGGGAAACTCAGGAGGAAAATCTGGCTTGTAGTACAACAGTGAGACATAATTCATCAAACAAAATTTGAGGTAGCAGTAGAATGTCCTAGTGGTAGCTATTTGCTAATCAGTTAGGAATGCTGAGTTTGGACATCGGGAGTAATGAGCTGGTCTGTGTACTGTGATCTTTGCTACTACCAGTTTCTAGGCCTTTCAAATGTCACATTATAGCATATATACATCTTTAGTATTTCTTTCAAAGAGCATTTTACCTTATTATTAAAAAAAAAAACCTTAGTTACAAAATGCTATGATTTGTAAATAGAGGGAAGATTCTTTGAACACAAGGATACTGGTTACAGGGAAAAGGCTTTTTTGACATCTTAAAAAATAATTTTAAAAAATGACTTGCAGCAACAAAGCAAACACTGAGTTCTTAAACAAAGTCTCTTTTTTACTTTTCTAAGTGGGGTTTGCCAAATAAACTATTGCAATTCATCAATTTACAGAACTGGAATGGATGAGAAGAAATGAATTTTGAACTAGTGTTCAGAAACCATTATCTTACTGGGCTCCCCTCCAACATCATCTCTGGAATGTTCTGAAGCAGCAAATGGTATTTTCCCTCACTAAGTTTCAAAATTAGATACCAAATAGCACAACCGCAAGTTGTGCTCTTTAGCAATGGAGTTTTATTCATTATTCAAGAAAAAAGTATCTACTTTTATCTACAATGTTCCAAGACGGCAAATTTGTTAATTGTTCAGTTTTAAAATTCTAGTTAACATTGAGTTTTAGCAAAGTATATACCTCTGTAACATTTCCATCACCCCAGAAGGTTCCCTTGGGCATTTCCAGCCAATCCCCCACTCCTACCATTGTTTTACTTTATAAGATTTCAGACACATTTTGAAAAAGATCTTTATTACAGAGCCTCTCAGCATTTTGGTTTCACTTCAGTGACATAAAACAACAATTCATTACAAAAATAAAATGTAACTCATTATCTTTAACGTGGAAAGGAAACTATCTTCTAGTCATTAAAGCTTAGGGAGCACAGACAAGAAGGCTTGGTCTGACTACCAGTCTTCACAGCTTTTTAACTGCCTGGATTGAACCCCTAACCAGGGGCCAAAACGGTGCACCAAGAACTCAGGGCCCAAGTGTGCCCCGAAGGCAAGCCGACTAATGGATACACCGCCAGCTGGGAAGTGCGCGCCACCGAGCTCACTGTGAACAGGAAGCTTCCTTAAAATACTGTACATCCTTTTTATGTCTGATCAGGGCCAGACAGTGGTGGCCAGCCGGGGAGCAGCGAGCAGCTCTTGCCTAACTTTGGCGAGGTCGCCTGCAGGGTTTCCCAATTACCCAACTGCTCTGCGGCAGTCCCCTCGAGAATAGTCACCTATTCGAAGTTGTATTACTCACTGCTAATTACTGAGCGGCGGTGAGCGGGACACGCAGGCGCTGAGCCACCGGTGGAAGAGGGCTGGTGGGGGGAGGGGGAACTGCAGTTTCTTGGGCATCTTGGTTCCCTGACTCTTCTTCCATTTCTGGAGTGCCTGGCTTTAGTGAGCCTCAGGGTTAAGTCTCGACCTTTCCCAAAGACCTCCCACTTGGTTACTGCTGGAGAAGCTCCTTCCATTGCCCACGCGGCTGTCATAAAAGGCTCGCGTGTGCCACTCCTGGTCTTTGAGTGCAGTTACCCGGCTAACTCCGCAATCACATGTTGATCCACACCCTCCCGGTCCAAAGAAATCGGGTGCCCCACAGGTGGCCTGGCGCCGCGCCCCCACCACCCTCCTCGCCCCAAGGCTCGGTGAGGACCGCCGGCCATCGGCACCCCGGGCCGCGTTCAGGAGCCGTCGATGCCTGCCCGGAGGGAGGTTTGCCAAGTCTCTAGAGGAAAGAAGCCCTAAAAGCATGGAAAAAACCCGCGCCGTCCTTTCTTGGAGTCCTCACCTGGCCGCCCGGTCTTGCCGTACAGGAAAGAAGCAGAGGGTGCTGCGGACGGCAAGAACGCTGAAACCGAGAGGTCTGAGCGCCGGGAGCCCCCAACTTCCTGCCCAGCTCGGGAGACCTCGCCCACTTCCCGCCTCTGGCCCGCCCCCTCCGCGCGGCCCTCGTC